AGTAGAAAAAATCGAGCACCTATAGTCTTCTCGGATGAGAGCAAAAAGGCTCTGAGGTCCCGTCGAGTGCACGTTGCGCTCGTTGCACGTTTAAGACCCCTTAAATTTGTGGTTGAAAATCGTAGAATAGTACACCGCCAGGCATCCACCGGGGCAAAATGCAAAAATTTTTTAATTCCTTACCATAAAATTATCCCTATCATGAATATAAAAAAAGTGTGGCACACCTTCACATCTTCCTTTGTTCCACACGTATCGATCACGTTTTTCCATAGCGTAAGACATGGGGCAGGAGTACAAGCAGGAGTACACACAGGACATGGGGTGGGAATACAGGCAGGACATGGGGCAGGAGTACACACAGGACATGAGGTGGGAGTGGAGGCAGGACATGGGGCAGAAGTACACACAGGACATGGGGTGGGAATACAGGCAGGACATGGGGTGGGAGTAAACACAGGACATGGGTTGGGAGTACACACAGGACATGGGGTGGGAATACATGCAGGACATGGGGTGGGAGTACACACAGGACATGGGGTGGGAATACAGGCAGGACATGGGGTGGGAGTAAACACAGGACATGGGTTGGGAGTACACACAGGACATGGGGTGGGAATACATGCAGGACATGGGGTGGGAGTACACACAGGACATGGGGTGGGAATACAGGCAGGACATGGGGTGGGAGTACAGGCAGGACATGGGGTGGGAGTACACGCAGGGTATGGGGTGGGAGTGGAGGCAGGGCGTTTAGGAGTGGAGGTAGGACAGGGGATGGGGAAGTATAGAACATAAAAGTACACGTGGTGGGAGTAAGGCAGTACAAAGGTGGAGGTGTCGGCAATATGTGGAGTGGGAGTGGAGGCAGAGGAGGGACTGGGCACAATAAGGAGCAGGACTGAAATTAAAATTTAAAAAAACATTGTATACGGGCTAGTTTTAGTTGCTGCTGTTGCGTTTTATTTTCTAGCCCACTGGATTACCCACTAGATCTAGACAGCTTTTAACTATACAGCATCTAGGCCCAGTGACATTTTGGGATTGGGAACATTCTAAACACGTTTAGTTAAAACTGACACGACTTGTCTTTCGTCTTTGTGATAATAAAATAGCCTACTACATGGTGCTATTTTGGTAGAGATACTTCTTCTTTGAGATTTTCGAAATCTAGCAAATAAAAAGTCACCTCAAATATGTGTTTGTTGTAAAGTAATCATAATGTAACAGTATAAGTACCCACTTTCAGTATTCCATAACGAGTACTGTAATGGTCAGTATATCGGTATCGCTGAGAGCTAGAAAAGAATAACACACTCACACACATAAACAAACAGACAAGAACAACAAAGATGTCTAGCCTACGGCAGCACAAGCCACAGTCATGTAAAGTTTAAGTCTAATATTAAACTCTGGAACACAACCCGAGAAGTTGCTTCATTTATTAATGTTTAATGTTGTTGGTGTTCTTGGACTGTTCACAAGTAGAATACACAACAGTGTTCCTTTTTCCTCTTTCTTTTTTAAAATTTATTTCCTAATTTTGCGTCCGGGTGGTCTGCTACTCTTGCGGCCCTCCGACGTTGAAAAATTCCATTTGTAAAATCTTTAAATGTCCTATCGTACCCCCAAAAAATCAATCAAATTCGGAATCAGTGTATCAAAATCAACAACATGAATGGCAGGAAACTATTTTTCTTTCAAGATTTTGAAAATTTAAAAACTTTTACAGGAGAAAAACAGGCGTATTTTTTTTGCCAGGGCTGCATCTTGCAGTAATTTCTTGTTACAAAAAGGGCACACAACAGTCATTTTCAACCAAACGTGTAATTTGCCCCTGAGGCAGGCATTGTTTTCTCTTACTTCACTCAGTGTATCGGGGGTTCAGAGTTCGAGGTCGTGCGACTTCTGCCAATTCCTTTGTCAGCAGATGCTTTCACTGACATATTATCAGGAGAAGTAATCTACAATACTGTTTTGATTGGTTCATTCTTGGTTGTTTCTCTTTATGCGTGATTTGCAACAGAAGACCGCGCGCGCGTGTCTCTCTCTCTCTCTCTCTCTCTCTCTCTCTCTCTCTCTCTCTCTCTCTCT